GATTGCAGCACTTCAGCTTCCTCCGGCCAAACCGGTGGCAGTGAGCTGCAGCACCGCACACTCTATTTAGAGAAATCTGGTAAAAACCTTCCTCAACTCAGTTAATGCGACTGTGGTTGCTGAAGGGTTGTCTCTGTATGTGCATTTATATTGTAAGTGGGAGATTCTGATGTAAGTTTGATTGAAAGATGCCGTATTACTCTTCCAGGCAAGACATCTGTATATTTGTGACTTCCACAAAAACTTAATTCAGAGTGTGCGAAATAGAAGAAAGAGGAAAGGCAGCGATGATGATGGTGACTCACCCGTGCAAGACATCGACACTCCAGAGGTAGCTAAGTAGTTGTTTGGTTTGGTTTGTTTATTTTTTCCCAGCTGTCCTGTTAAGCTGCTTGTTAACGACTACCAAGTCCGACCGGACACTGCTTTCCCACTCTTACAGCTCTCTTTACTTTGGGGCATGTGGGAAAGAGAAGACTCGATTCACTCTTAATTTAACAAAATCTCACAGAATTTTACAGTGTATTTTCCATAGTAATTGTGCAGAGTAGAATGAACAAGACTCTCTGTGATTTTTAAGTGTCTGCTAGGTCTCTCAGAAAACAGCTGTTTCCAGCTTTCTCCTCCTTGGTGCTTCCTCTCCGGAGTGGTGCTTTGCCACATAACAGCATACTCTGTCTTCTGCAGGAGTTGACAATTTGAAGGGAATTGCACATCGGGTTTGGGATATAAATGCTTCCGTGCCCCATTCCTCTGATCCTTTCCTCTGTGTTCAGTGTGTTGGAGATGGCTCTAGCAATTATTCTATTGCCTTACTCATGTTAAACACACAGTTTAACGATGTCTTTGTTTTTACCCTGTTGTTGGGTGAAGAGACATTCAGGGAGCTGCGCTAGACAAGAAGGTGGTGTTTTTCCCACCTGTTTTCTCCACTGCAGACCAGTGAGACTTCACCCATTAAAAAAGTGAACTACAGCTTTTGACCTTTCTCAGAGCCCAGTAGGAGAGACTGCAGCAAAGACTCTTATTTTTCCTACACGTGCTCTGGATTATTTCTGCTACAGCCTGGCTTAGCAGGTGCTCTTCAGTGTGGTGATTCTGAGCAGAGGCTGTTGTGCCTACGTGGTCCCTTCTGAGAGGGATTTTTAAAGCATTCAAACATTGCTCCATAAGTGTTAATTTGATGGCATCCTTATGGTCAACATCTGCAGAAATCAGCAGCATAAGTGGTGAAATTCTGTACAAGAATCCGTGTCTAAAGGCACGTGGCTCCAGTCTGAAGGCCCTGGCTAATAGGATTTTAAGGGATTGGGAGTAGTTTGATGTTGGGCTGTGTGGTTTGTCTGTTAAATATCTGGGACTTCTTTGAGAGTTCTGTCTAAAACTAATGCTCTGTGTGACTTCAGGTAGCTCTCTGGCACAGTGGTAATTGCAGCTCTCCTGCAAGCCTGTTTTGTTTTCTCATGAAAGAATTATAAAACATGTCACAACTGATGGGTATCTCTAGAACAGGAGAGCAAGCTTTTTCTATTAATGGTACTACTGTGGGAAATAAAACTGCCTGGGAAGTATTTTTGAGGAGTTTCAGCTGGCCATTTGGATAAAGGCAGTATGTTCATCCCATGTGATTACTGTATGCCTTAGGTGCCCATTGGCCCTTCATCATCTTTATTTTCAATTGCTATTCAGCCTAGTAAGGAAAAAGTTAGAAAAGTATCATTCTTCTGAAGACTTGTAAAGCCTTCCTGTTTCCATCTCAGTTATGACCATTGTTACCTGTTAGAAGTGGTTCCTGTAGGAGGGGAAGAGGCTTCTGCAGTACGGGTAGCTTCTGGGGCTTGATGGAAAGCTGCCAATACTCCTGTGTGGTGCTCTGGGGTGTGATTCCCCACTGTGACTTGGGAAGCGGAATTTGTGTTGTGTAAGCTTTAGAACACCAAAAGATTACCTACCCATCCATCCCCTGTCACGGAAGCTGTATCACATCAAGTCTGGCCAGGTTACCAAGTATGCAGTAACACTGCTTTTCTTTAAGTGTTCTATAGTAAGACTGCTAAATGCATTTAAAGCAAAAGTGGATGTCTTAACCAATCTTTAATGCAGTGAGTTTGGAGAACACTACTGTAATTGCCGCTGATCTAGCAGACTTTCTCATTCAGCCTGCTTTCTCAGGTTGCTTTCCCACTCAGTCATCTTGTTAAGCTCTCTTCCATTGTCAAGGAGGGTGGTAGGAAGGTATGCTGTTGCTGGGAGCAGTGACTGTTGGTCAGAGTTCATGGGATTCAAAACAGGCAGAGTACTGGGTTAAGGTTGTGTATTTGTATCCCTAAGAGGACCTTGTGCAGTTCTCTCAACTGTCCACTTGCACTGAAAAATAGTTTGGCCGGTTTTGCCCGTGCACGTAACTCCTGCATTGTGCTTATATAACAGGAATACGTTTGGAGAGCAAGAGCAGCTGTTTTCTTCTCTCACCTCAAGCCAAGAAAAACTTTGCACTGTAGACTTTTTCCTGATTCTAATACGTGCTCTTTCATGGTGTGGATGTGCTATATCTTGCATGGAATTTGTATAAAATTTGATGGCCAAAATCACAATATAGGGCCCTCATTTGAATCAGTATCTTCATGGATGTTATATTAAAGCTGTTACTGGGCTTTGTGTTATCATGCTTGAATTGGGGACAGACAGAAAACCCAGTGAGTTCTGAATACTGTCCACAGCTAAAGGGAGGCAGAGCCATGCTTGATAAAGATGAAATGCTCTTAAACTGAGCTGGGCTGTTTTCCTTTCTGCTGGAAGGTGCAGGGTGGAGTTTGTTTTCTGTTAAAATGCGATCTGCTGGGCTGACTGTTTTCACTTACGTGTCTCTGAGATTCCAAAATATTTTTGAGAGGCAAACTATTAATGGTTGAATTGTTTCCAGTTACATTAGATTTCCTCCCCTTCCCCCCCCTTTTCTTCTAGGTTGATTTATATCAGTTACAAGTAAATACACTTCGAAGGTACAAAAGACACTTCAAGCTACAGACCAGACCAGGACTTAACAAAGCACAGCTCGTTGAAGTATGTATGAGTGTTTGTTTCATAATAGAAAATGCAACTTGCTATAGCATATTGTTTTCTATACAATGTGATACTTGCATAAAGAGCATGTGTAATCTGGATTTTAGGAGAACAAAAGGGAACTGCTTATCTAGCTTCCTTCACTGGCCACAGCTCTTGAGCCAAGTTAAATCAAAAGTAAAAGTTCTTTCCAGAGGTGGGACTCTTAACTTCTGAAAGGAGTGTGTGCTGCTTTAAAAACATGAGATTTTGAGTTAGATCAATAAGATGATCTGTATATCCCTGAATATCATAGAACCATGCATTATAGTCTGCATCAGTCACACCTTCACCTGAAGCTGAAAGAACTAGAAACTGAGAGGTGGCAGCAAGGTTCAGACTTTGCTTTAGAAAGGTAGTTACTGCAAGCGTGTGCTTTATATGTAAAGTACGGAAACCTGAAAAAACCAGGGTTCTGCTGATAATTCTGTTGATTAAAACCACTGGGATCTGCCATCAGAAAAATGGAACTTTATGACATTAGGGTTTTTTATCAGTATTTCTAGAAGTGCTGGAGCTGTGTGAGTACAGCTGTACATAAGCATCTTTGCTGCATGAAAGTATAATTTTAAGGAATTCTTCTGTGCTGCAAAGATGCAGTTACAGCATGCTGATGTAAATATGTGGGAGAAATGATGATCCTCTTTTAAAAAGAGAGGTATAGCAACTGTTTTTCACTTCATGCAGTGCTACTCAGTTGTACTCCAGTGCAGACATTTTGTTGGCATCTCCCTTAATTTGTGTGGATTAAAAGTGAGAATCTTAAATGTATGGGAGATCTCCAGGCTGAGCTGCTGCCACTACACGTAAGAATGTAAAATCAGACTTCTGTTTTCTTCTATGTGAGTTGAGGTACAGCTAGCTTTTGAATTAGCAGTAATGTGATTTGAAAAAGCACAAGCAGTTTTTGTTCTGCACAACTTACATTTTGGAGGGTCTGTTTTAGGTACCTGTCTAGGTATTTGCACTAGGTTATTCTTACTGTATGGTGTACACTGGCAAAGCTGCTTCTGTCATGTGCTTGGTTTTACTGACATGCAGGTCTTTGTGAACCATGGCTGCAGAACTCGTGTAGTTTACAGTGCATGTGATTCCCTGTAACCTGTCTTAACATATCATAGACACTTCTCTGGCTGTTACTTAAAGTTCACTTCAGAGGACTCTCTCAAACTTTCTTTGTGATGTCTTTTTTAGGAGGGTGGGGTTTAGGAAGCTTCCTAACTTGCTAATCAGGCTAAACATTTATACTTGCATTCTGTGGTAGTTAAATGAGCAATTCCATGTTTCTTGCTTGCTAATTTCAGTCTAACAAAATATTCTGCAAAAAGCCAGAGAATAGACTCATGCAGGTATAATATTTTGCATGCTTTCTTTTAGAGCTGTTGTTCATTTTGGTGAAGGGAAGGACTTCTGGAATGGAATCAGGAAAAATGATTCAAAAATGTGTTTAGGGAACATCATATTTTAGTGGTTCCAGCATAGTGAATTTTCATTGATAGTATTTTGAAGATCTGAATGTTCAATTATAAATTTTGAAGATTCTTGCATTGTCTTGGATGTTTCTTTTTGTGACTTGATGCAGACATTACCACCACCCCCCCAGCCTGAGTGATGAGCAGTAGCCTCCCATTTCTGCGCTGTTGCTCTGTTGATATTCTACAGTCATTACTTGCTTTATAATTTTATAGTCAAGCTTAAACTACACAGATGTAATGATACTCCTGTGCTGCTTTTGAGAGCTTCCACCCCCCACCCCTGAATTTTCTGGGCTTTTTACTTTGGAATTTAGGGTACACTCTGCTATATCTAGTTCATAGTTCTCAATAAAATGGTTCCTATTTATCTTTCTTATTACTATTAAAGACTTCTGACAAGAGGTAGCTTTTTTTCTTTAAGCTTTTTTATTAATCTTTTAAAGTTTAATATAGTCAATTTCAGACTGAATCTTCAGATACTGCATATAGGAGTGGTTATTTAATTTCCTTGCATTCTTCCTTTATAGATAATTGGCTGCCACTTTAGGACAATTCCAGTGAATGAAAAGGACACCTTAACATATTTCATCTACTCGGTGAAGAATGAGAAGAACAAGCCAGATCTAAAGATGGATAGTGGGGTTCATTAGACGGAAAAGGTTGGGACTGAGTCTCAGGCTGCAAATCAAAAGACTGAGGTTTTGTTGATATGCAGAAGCTTTCTTTGTAACTTTTTCTCCCCAGAGACTTTGTCTCTGTTTTATTTTTCATAACCTTGCTGATTTGTTTGAAAACCATCTCTTAGGAAACAAATTTCCTCAGCAAAAGTATTTTAAATAAATATCACTGATACTGTTGCTCGAGTGGGTGTGTCTGTAACTTATTGAGTTACTTGTACCTAATAGTTAAGCTTTGACTAACTATGTAATAATATCAAAATATTTTTCAATTAAAGTGTGCCAAGGATATATTTATGAATGTACTTCAAGTTCTCATGATGAGATGCCTTTAAAAAAACCCCAAAATCTGTAGCAGACTTAGCAATAGGTTCTTTTTCTTCAGGTAAAAGTTTTTAAATGACAGTTAGTTGTTAGCTGGGCAGAAATGGTTGAATAACATTTTATTTGTCCCCTTGAAACAAGAATTGATGGGGCTTTTCTGATATGTGTATTCATCTTGTCACTGTTGGGATATGTGCTTCCAAGCACTGAGTCTGCCTTGCTTCTGTATTAAAATGGGGGAAAAAGTGCAGCTTTCAAGTTTCAAAGCTGTAAGTGGGATGAAAAGACTGCTGCGGCTTACTGTGCCAAGAAATCCTTCCACTCGGTAAGAAATCCTTTAGCTGCTGACTTTTCCATTCATCTACATAGGCTGCTGCTAGGAACTTAATTGGAGAATGGAAAACGGAGTCTGTGCTGGGTCAGTATAGTATCTTCTAATAGGCATACTGTTTCTTTTTCGTTGCATGCATTAGCTCAGGCCTGTTTAAAAAAAAAAGATAAAATAAATTAAAAAACCCACAACAAAACTTATGATAACATATATGAGAAAAATATCCTGCAATACTATCGGTTTTATTTGAATATCTGGTAAAGTCTAATGTTGAAGATATTATGAGTGACTTTTTATTGTCATGTAACTGTTGTGCCAGTCTAAATGTGTGGTGTATGCAATATGATTTTTCTGCTTTAAATTGCACATAAGTTGAAGAAAAGGTGGAAAGAAAACAGTTCTTAAAGCAGAAGAGAACACAGCTTCAGCTTGTTCAGTTAGCATTTGTCTAAACCCTTAACCATATCAGATGTTTAAAAGGTTTTTCTTAATCTGGGAAAAAATGAGAAAGCAGTATTTCTGTGGTCTAATTTGCTCGATTTTAATCTTGTGAGTTTTTTGAAAACTACTGTTTTGCTGGCATCACTATAACTAAGATGCTGCACTTTGCTTTTTCTGACCTGTGACAGTTGCATAGAACTGAACGATGATAAACCATAAACCCTAACTTCAAACTGGCTGCCTTCCCAGTAACTCTCAGTGGCCTTATTTCTTTCACTTGCAGTGTCTTACGTATTTCCACAATAAAGTTCTGCAGTGTTGGCTGAAGTTCAAGACAGTTAGTGATACCTAGCTAGTAGCAGCTAAAATTGGTATTCCTTTGAAGAGATGTTTTAGTGCCCATTTTGCTACAGTGACTGTGAAGTTGTTTGCTAAATAGCTGCACAAATTCAGCTTGTCACATTTAAAGTACTAGCTGCATAAACAGCCAGGGACATCCAAAGGACGAAGGCTTTTTCTCTGAGTGCCTGGCATGGGTGAATGTTCTCACCTAGGCCTGGCAGGACCCATAGAAGAAGCTTTGGGAGGGAAGGAGAGAAACAAAACCAAGTTTCTATGGGAAATCAATCTTAAAGTGGTATCCTAAAATGACCATATCCTGCTACATGTGGAAAGCAGCAGAATTTTTCTCCAGTGGATTATGGATTTTCCAGGAATGGTGGAAGGGAAGTGACTGAGATCCACCTACTAACTTTACTACCCAGATTTGCATCTGCCTTATTTTTTGTGCTGCTGCTGCTTTGGAAAGCTGTGAATGCCAGGCATATGTGACATGATTCATATAGAAACTAGAGGGCACAACCAATAGAAGTAATGTGCCCTTGTTATTGCTAGAAGGTTATAGAGGACTTTGCACAAGAGCAGTTACCGTGTGTTTTCTTAGCAGAGCACTGACTTTGAATGTTTTGACTGTGGGTTGTCAGATTTATGGGGTTTTTTTTACCCTTAATTGATGATTTGGTAGGAAGCCTAAAAGACTTGAGAATAATTACACAAACCAGGCTTAAAAAGCCTGATGACACAAACTGTTTGTTTGACAGTCAGTAGCCTAAAAATTACTTGGCAAAAATAGTATGCACAGATTTACTTGAAACATTTATTATTAGCTGTGTATAATCACCTCCCTCCCTCACCATGCAACCCTGGTTTACTAACAGAGGAAGAAAAATAGTCATTTTGATATTTCATACTGCATGCAAAATCAGACTGGTAAGCTGGTGGTAGCAGGTTTTGTAGTGTAAGGGTTTAATATTACTAGATAAATAGTACACTTTTTGAGTGGAAAAGACTCTGTGACTGGCTTGATAGCCAAAGAGTTTTTGCATGTAAGGCAATAAGCCATGCTTACTTGCCTGTAAGCCTGGCTTGTTTGAGGGGCTTTCCTTAAATTTAAAAAGGCATGTAAATTCTTGGCTGTTTTTCTCTTGTACTGTGATTGGTGTTGGCAGGTGTTGAGAGGTGACTATCTACAGCCTAGATCATGGTGACTCTTAAACATGAAGATGATTACTTCTAATATTTTGAGATACCTCTTTGTTTTCCCTTCCCTAGCTACTGCCTTGCAGGGCTAGCCCAAAAATAAAAAGCCAGCATTTAAACTTATTTCTGGAGTACTGTATTTCAAAGCTTGATTAAAAAAACTGCTTAAGTGTAGATTTTTGTGTTGCCTTAACAGACTTTCCATCGGTCCCATCTTCTTTAGACGTCTTTCTGAATATGTATATATATATGTTGTTGTAACCATTCTAGCATTTTAAATGCTCAATGTTAAGATTAAGCAATTTAAGGTTTTACAGACTGCATAGTTAATGCAGGTGACCAGTTAGACATATAAGTATGCTTTAGTATACTATTAATATGCATTTTTACTACTTCCCACACCCCGTGGAATTTTTAAATGTGAAATCTTGCCTTTTATAAGTGCATATAATTTTAAGATGCCTAAATAGACTGTGGGAGCCCGTCTGCAGAAGTGCTGGGGACTGAGTAGCTTCAGATTAAAATGGCATTAACTGTGTTATGGCAAAGCAATAGGAAGCTGTGCTGCAGTGGGTTGCTGCACCTTCCTAATGATCTGAAGACCTAGGCTTGAAGTTTTTTCATCCAGACTAGTTGAGAATGTTGGGCTGAGTAACAGGAGTTAGGCTTTTTGCTGGGGGATGCATATTAGAATGCATTACGAGCTTGTACAGTCTTTTACACGTTACGGAAATTTAAGTCAGCAACCAAATTTAACAGAACTTTGTTCATATTTGAGATTATGAAAAGGTATATAAAGGATTTTTTTTCTACAGTGTCGAAGAGGCACTGTCTTGTGGTTAGAATTATTTTTTTTTTCTGATGGTGGTTTTGTTTTCCCCCTTGAAAGCATTATTATGTGATTGTAGAGTGATGTCTGTTGTCTTCACCGCCAGACTTGATATCCATCACCAACTGTTGCAGGGAATCACAAAAGATATCTTTGGTCCAAAGAAAATATCCCTGAAAGATATTATCAGATATTTAAATAATTAGATCATTGGCTTATCGGAACTTTAACATGGCATGCATTTCTACGTGTCGATTTTTTTAGCTTATGGTGGAGTATGCATGGGATTACTGTGTGTGTGGGTTGCATTTCCAGCAGTGCAAGTGTAACTGCAGGTCTAGATGTAGATACTGCATTTCTACCTCTGCTGGCCTGATTTGGAAGAGATGGCAAAACTTTTCATTGACTGAACAGTGCAGACTCCACTCTGGAATTTTATCTTTGATAAAGTAAACTTAGAAAATACATAACAGTACAAAGTGTGTGCACGCATTCGGCATGTGCATGCGTACTGTTGAGTGCAGTTTGTCCTCAGAGTAGACCTGGAGTGTAGGTTGTCTGTACCTCAGGATGTTTGAAGTAAAACCTCCTTATGTATTTGTATCAAAGCAAGAGGCCTTATTAGGCTTCTCAAAGTTCAGAGATTGAAGCTAGACACCCAAAGTGTGCTTCAGGGTCAGGACACCATACCTGGTTTTAGGAAAAGTGAAAGATGAAAAACTTACTTAAATTGTGCTCAGTTTGAACATGAGGTTTGTAGCTACAGAAGTCATTCCCACGTGGTTCAGACATAGTCCCCCACAGGAGTGCTGAAAAGTTGCCTTTTACTGGATTTTAGGGGACTTGAGAAACTTGCGTAGTAAGAGGAGCACATGTTAAAAGTAATTTTTGCTTGCCTATATAATGCCATTACATTCTGGTGTCCCTGAAGCATTAGTAAGTTTTGCAGTGTTGATATTTTTAATCTAAATTTCCTGAATAAAAGATGTTGCTGGAAAGTTGAATTAAATAATACATCTTAATACATTTTATTACTTCAAGCCAGTATGGGCTGGTGGTGTTTATTAACTCAATATTAATTTTGTTGCGACGTACATTCTTTCTGTAAAACAACAACAACAAAACCCATGTTCAGTGAGAACTTCACCATTCAGCTTTGTCAGCAGTGCCAGCAAGCTAGAGAAGTGTTTATGTTCTTGGGCTATATCTTTACCCTCCCTTGCAGGCATTTGTGAGCCTCTGTTCTCCCTTTTTGCTTTCCTACTTTAAACAGCTGTCTTTACAGAATCATTTATTCAACTAACATATGTTCATATACCTTAGAATAGCAATACAGTTCTTTAATGTGGAACAGAAATCAAATAGTTTTGTTTATGGTCCTGAAATCTTTGCAAAGTACTGTGAATAAGGGTTTGATGTAGTTCTCATGCTCAGTTTAGATCAAACAGAAGAGTCAAAAGTAGGGTAATTTAAATGCTGAAGTCCCCTATAATAGGGCATGGAGGTTTACACAATATACACAATAGAAGCAGTTCCTAGGTATGACCCTGGAAAACAAAACCTGAAAACTGTTGGTGTAGTAGGTAATTGGCTCTCTTGATATACTTTTGAACCATGTGAGGTGATGCATTTCTTTAAAAGCTTATTCCACCAGTGGAAACTGTAAAATGATGGCTATATAATGGGCAGTCACACAGAGCAGTACAGGTTTATATAAAATGAGTGTGGTCTTACTTTGGGCAGCAGAGCAATTCATTCCAGCTGCAGTAACAGATCATGTCACAGCCCTTCCCTTCCCAAAAGTGATTCTGCAGACCATCAGTGATTCGACGAAGGTTCTCCCTGCCTTCAGAGATGCTTTCACAGTTGTGGTCTTTGAGGGCTCTCCTGTAACAAGAGGGATGCCGGGAAGGTGCCGCGGGGGTACCCAGGAGGGTGCTCAGCAGAAGCAGTGCTGAGACCATCTTCATTTTTGCCAAGCTTCCTGTGGCAGGGTGCTAAAGAGAAATGAGGCACATAACACAGGTATAGCTCCTGAACAGATCCCTTAGTTTGCTCTCTGGCTTGCATCTTTCTGTTGTTTTTTCCTGTGAACTTTTGGAGGTATTTGAGCCTGAGTGCTGGAGAGTGTTTTCTCCTAGGAGGTAAATAATATTGCAGCAGAATTGATATTCATTACTTTCTGTGCAACCTTGGGAATCCTTTCACTGGGAATTGGAGCTTCTGCTGCTGGCAATTTTGTTGTTTCTGTGGCCTCTCACCTTGAGAAAATTGCTTTGAGCTGGCTATGTTCTCTGGGTGGTGTGAGTGACTCTAACGATTGCTACCAAACCAGGGGAAAATGTCTGGTTGTGTTTCCTTGCCTTCCTCGCCATTTTGCCTCTACAAACAAGAATCGCTCACATAAAAATAATAGTATCTTTCCCCATCAAAGTTGTGAAAAAACTTTGCTGATTGAATGCTGTGCCATGGGCTGCTTTGAGAAGCTGGAGCATCAAACAGCAGAGACAGCTGAAGCTCTCTGCCGGGCTGCCAGGTGCCACTGTCCTGGACTGCAGGCTCCGGTATGATGCTGCATTACTGACAATTTCATCTCGTTTTCTATCTTTTTTTGGTACTGCAAGCTACTTAGTTGAGTCTTGCTATAGAAGCTCATTCTGATTTAATTAGCTTTGTAAAAGGTGGGATAAATTATCCCTTGCAAAACTCTCCTGTCAGTGACCAGGCTTTCTGTCACCTGCATGAGCTTGTTTAATGCTTGCTGGGCTATTCTGTGCTGCTTTGCACATAGCCGGGCCATGCCACAAAGCTTCGGATAACACCCTTGAATTGTATTCACTTGTAGGCTGGCATTTGGAACAATGCTTCAACCTAGACTTTATTGGACTTAGGAAGGAGAGTGGGGCTTTCACCTTTCCTCATGCTTGAATGTGAGGGGTCTATTATCTTACTGAATTTAAATAGGAAGTCTGTTCTGAAAGCAAACTCAAAGCGATGACAAGCTCCCCCTGAGTGCTCCTCACAGTACTTGTGTTAGCCTCAAGACACTTGTGTTACCCTCAAGCCTTTGCCATTAACAGGGACAGTGGGACTGAGTGCGCCCTCAGCAAATCTGCCAATGACACCAAGCTGTGTGGCTCAGTTGATACGCTGGAGGGAAAGGATGCCATCCAGAGGGACCTGGACACGCTTGAGAGCTGGGTCGGTCAGCACAAACCACACAAAGTTCAACGAGGCAAAGTGCAAGGTCCTGCACCTTGCTCAGGGCAATCCTAAGCACAAATACAAGATGGGCAGAGAATGAATTAAGAGCAGCCCTGAGGAGAAGGACTTGGGGGTGATGGTTGATGAGAAGCTCAACATGACCTGGCAGAGCGCACTCGCAGCCCAGAAAGGCAACCGTGTCCTGGCCTGCATCGAAAGGAGTGTGACCAGCAGTTCAAGGGAGCTGATTCAGCCCCTCTGCTCTGATGAGACCCCATCTGGAGTATACTGTGTTCAGACCTAGGACACCCAGCAGAAGAGGGACGTGGAGCTGCTCGAGTGAGTCAGAGACCACGAAGATGATCAGAGGACAGGAGCACCTCTCCTATGGAGACAGGCCGAGAGAGTTCAGCCTGGAGAAGAGAAGGCTCTGGGGAGACCTTAGAGCAGCCTTTCATTACCTAAAGGGGCTACAAGAAATCTGGAGAGGGACTTTTTACAAGGGCATGTGGTGACAGGACAAGGGGGAATGGCTTTAAACTTACAAAGGGTAGATTTAGATTAGATATAAAGAAGTTCTTTACTGTGAGGGTGGTAAGGCACTGGAACAGGTTGCCCAGAAAACTTGTTGATGGCACATCCCTGGCAGTGTTCAAGGCCAGGTTGGACAGAGCCTTGGGCAACCCAGTCTACTGGAAGGCATCCCTGCCCATCGCAGGGGGATTGGAACTAGGTGATCTCTAAGGTCACTTTCAAGCCTAAGCATTCTATGAAGGAAGACTTTTCTGCCCTTCACCCTGTTGGCACTTTGGTGTCAATCCCCTAACACTACAGTGTTATGGCCTGGCTCTAGTCTTTATTGCGAGGCTGAAGAGTAGACTGCTGTAAACTAACTCAAAAATAACTTGGCATAAGGCAATACCTGACCAAAGACTATCAAAGGCCAAGTTAACATGGCAGAGCTGTTACCTAGATAATAAGGCACACCAGCTATAGAAGTCAATTAATGGAGTCCCACTTGGGATACTTTTTTCAGCTCTTGAGATCACCCTTAAAAACAAACAATAAGCTATTAAATTTATACTTTTACTGTATTTTGTAGTTATTTTTCCTGTGTAGTTATATCACCACCATAGCTATCTTTCTGATCTTCCATTTCTTCAGCCAGCGAATGACATGCCAGAGACTGTAAGAAAATCTGGGAATTTGGATTCGTAGTAGGGATAAAATATGACATCTTCATGCTCTTCGATTATATTTTTCTGTGAGATTTTGTGCAAACTTGGTTTTTGAACACCAGTAGCCAAATAAAATATTAAAAAGTGAAAATAAGCCTTTGTGTGTTTTTTAACTTCCTTTTTAGAAGCAAAATTCATTGAATAATTCCTTTTTAGTTTCCATGAACCTGTATGTGAACTTTTGAGTAGGAGACGCCTATAAACTACTAGTAATGGAGCCTTGGGGATCTATTTTTTAATTACCTTAGAGAGCAGTATTGAATAACATACTGTCTTTATTAGGTTTAGACCTCAAAACTACTTCTCAAATAATGTAAACTTTGTTCTAACTTTGCCTAATGTTGTTTTTTAGACTTGAGTAAAGAACCTATATTATTATAATAATGGTTTTATTTTGTAGGAGTATAAACACTGCAGTTATGAGGGTTCTGTTCAGAGACGTCTAATGCCTAAAGAGAACAAGTTTGCTTATACTATACCTTGATAAATGCCAATGTCAGGGAATACAGTTTAACATTCTTCTGTTCAAATAATTGAGTTTAATTATTTAAGTATTTAATGGAAGAAAATTTCCATGGAAGAGGTATTTAGGAAACTGGAGGTTCATGCCTTTGTTTCCTGTGACTAGATTATTCTGTGAGTTCTTCCCCTGAGGATGAGGTATTCATGACATCTTGCTCTTGTGTAAGGTTTTGGGTTTTGTTTTCATTCCTAATGATATGGGTGATATTTCCCTACCTGGAGTTCAGCTGGAATGCTCATTTGAATCTGTTGCTGGCTGCCTGTCTGCTCAAAATCTGTAGTAACTCATTCTGTCCTGAATATGGGCAGATCTTCTATAAACTGTCAAAATGCTGGATTAAAAAATCATGACCTATGATTTAAGGCAACTCACTACTTGCCTTGGAATATCACAGGATATTGCTGTAGTGCATCATCGAGAGGGTTTATATGGGTGAGTGCCAAAATCAGTATTAGCAAAGTCGGTATGCTGGTGAGCTACAGATACACAGCTTCGCTGAGAGGTCAGTTAAGCATCTTACTGATGCTCAGCATTGCTGTTATTCAAGAAAAAAATACTTATTATTATTTTATTTCTGCTTAAATGTTTCCCCCCCCCAATCATAACCAAAAGGAAACTTTAGTCAAAAGACGTTTCTTCAAAAGGTTGTTTCTTTCCTGTGAGAGAACCCTCCCTATTCGCGGATGAAAGATTGCCAAGAATCTGAAGTGTTTCATCATCTCCCTGCACTGGATTGATGCTGATAAACTCAGCAGACCTTTCAGATGCAGCATCTTCTTCTGACAAACTGCTGCAACTTCTTTTCTCAAATGGGGTTGCACCGATGATGGAATGTCACTGATTGCCTGGGTAAATAACAGAGCTAGTACCTGCATATTTATTTCAAAATGCATGTTAAAGACCTTCTCTGCTTTTGCATACTGCAGAAACAGTCTTCTCTCATAAAACAGATCGGGGAATTAAGGTGAACAAATCCAATCACTAAGGTAACTCAAAGACTCATTGCCTCAAGTGCCCTCTCTCATTTCTTTATTGTATAAAACCTTCTGCAAAGGTAGCAATGCCAATCATGCTAAGCCTGACCAGGTTGCTCTGTCAAGATAATATCATTTGAAATTCTAGCACGAGTAAAGCCGTCTGAAAATACTGAAAACGAGCTCCTTACACTGGCATAAATTCTTTTCAGTGAATTACTTTGGTTACTTTGACATAGTGAAAGTAAAGTTGGAGACCAAGTGCAGCTGGGAATACAAGTGCTTTGAAATAATTTGGAGTTTTGTGTAAAGGAAAATGGTTAGTTTTGGAATATGCACAGTGAGTCAGGAATCAGTGCTACCCTCTGCTCATTCAGCTGGAGGTGTTCGAATTACCCTGCCAGGCAATTTGGCACTATATAGTCTTTGGATCAGCTAGATGCAGAGGTGGTCAGAAAAGACCAAAGATTAAAACACAAGTTTCAGCCTTCTTGGCCAAGAGCAACAGTGTAATATATCATGAGATGTGCTGCCCTTTAAAGGTCACGTGGTATTAGTAGGAGCTCAGGTGTTAGTGGATAGAAATAGTGAAAACTGAGAAATAAAGTGTGTATTTCAGCACCTCTAGAGATCCTTCAGGTTTTGGAAAAGATAAAGATTCACAGTTTGGTCTATCAACCATTAAATACAGCCTTCAGCATTAGTAAGCAGGCTGCATCTCCAGTTGCCTGATGTTGAAAACAAGGAATACGTAATTAGTATGCTTTTGGTGTAAGATCTTTTCCAGTCTGTCCAGTGGCATGTGCTGGGTTAACAAGTTGCACGTAAAGTGAAACTAATATGTATTTACTTCTTAATGCACATCAAGTTCGAGAGCTAAAAATATCTATCAAAATAAAATGTATTTTATTGTTTATTTGTCAAGTTTCCACTTCAGAAATACCTGTAAAATTTAATATTTAGGTGTGTTAGTGCATAATAGTTGGGTTTATTAGTGTGTGCCGAAGAAATCATTACACAAGAGCTGCATA